ATCACTTTTCTTCCATCAACTCTTGTGCCTCGTCGCCGGCATACACGGTCTCTCATATCATCTGTTTTCATTCCACAGCCTCGTTGAGCATTGGTTTCCTTGATTGTGCGCCGCAAATACTCTGTCTTTGTTCTCACCTCCTGCGAAACTCTCAGAATGCCGTTTCGACGAGACTCCCGCCTCAAGAGTACTCCAGAAGAGCCCTCTGTACCCATTAAGGAGGAAAGAAGGTGCGTCGCATTCCATTGAGACTCTCAACTCCCCATCCGAGTTCCTTGGTTCTTCACTCTCTCTTTGCGACTCAGAGTTTCAATGTATTTTTGGCACCTTTCAAAGTTCAATGCATGCGCCCGGTTTGCTTGCCTTGGTCAAGAGGGCAACTGGCGAGTTGCCAAGAGGCGCATGTCGAGTCAGGGACAAGTGTTCCCGATTCATGTACGCATACAACATCCGCTTTGGATGGCTTTCTACCCCTGCTCAACTCGAATCGTCTGCATTTCTTGGTCTTGCGCTGTTGCTTCCTCGCCGGCGATGCTTTTCTTTCTGTCTCTCTCCGAATCAGCTGGGGTTTTCTCAGTTACAGCCACCATGGCCGAGCGTCACCACCTTGGTTGGCAAAGACCTCATCAGGGTTGCAAGTGCACCCATTTGGGCAACATTGCAACACATCATGGAATGCAACAAACTCAATTGTGAACAAGCATATACTGATACCAATTACAGGCTCAGCAGTGCCAATGGGGTTAAGCCACCTGCTCTGGATGACGACGACACCGCCAATGATGATGATCTAAGCCCGCCTCCAGAGAACTTGAGCCCTGTCTCAGGCAGCCATGATCGCGCTTTGGAAGATGAGATTGTTGTCGGTAACCGCAATGGCGTGCAAAAGTCATCGCCACTCCGCGTTGTTTCTGATCCCGAGGATGAGAATATGGCGGATGTTGAGGATGAGCCAGTCGTCTCTCACTACCCTAAGCGGAAGCGCGCGTCCGTTTTCAATGACTTGAGTGAAGACAAGATGGAGAGCAGCCTTGTCTCAGAGAAGGAAGGCACGCCACGCGGCACCAAACCAGCTCGTAGGCATGGACTGGGTGGTGTGAAGGGCGTCATTCTCGGATATTGGCGCGATTCACCCGTGCCTGACCCCAGAGGCAAGCATGCAGTTATTGGCTTCATCGATGTTCGCGATCGCCTCCGCACTCGCATTCAGCAGAACACCCGCTTCGGCGAGCCGGTATCGAGTCTCGAGTATCCCCTCCCGCCCGGACCAGGTGGCAGCTGGGTGACCTTCGAGCGGGTCGTCTTCGCAGACCACCTTGTTGGTCTGGATCACCACCAAGTGAAGGAATATGTCAAGCTTCGAACGGATTCTATCGAGATGACGGAGGAGGCCCGAGATGCTGCAGAGCAAGCTGCGGCTAAGGAAGCGGTCCGGCGTGTCGAGGAAAACCCTCCCCCCGAGAATCCCGTAGCGCCAGCCATCGCATACGGTGCGGTGATTCCCGACCACGCTACAATGCCGGCTCGGCCGGACTCCAAACGTCGCCGCACTGGTAGTGGCATCGGCACGATCAGTGGAGGCCCGGTACAGCAGACGCCGCCAGCACAAAACATCCCGCCGACTCCTCAATTCGACCCTCTGCCAGGTACCAGACCCACACGCATCATTGTGGGCTACTGGAAGGGCTCCAGTGAGCCTGATCCTATCAACAAGCACGCGATCTACGGCATCCTCGGACAAAATGACATGTTCCGCGTCAAGGTGGCGCGAGAGACGCGTGATAAGCGCTTCGTCGATGGCAACTTTCCCGTTGGAGCGGGTGCGCTGTGGATTCACTGGGAGGAGGTCGAGCTGGAGCCACACATTAAAGTCCTGTCTCGCCCCGAGGTGAAGGAGTATTGTCGTGTCCGTCAGTACCAAATCGATCAAGGCGAGAGCCCCAACGAGCGAGTCGAGAATGAGGCCAGGGCAGTGTACGAGGCACAGCAGCGCGTGGCAAATGGCATCAATAAGCCTGGTTACATGAACAATATGGGCCCGCCACCCGCCATTGTTCCACAGCCAGAAGAGATGCTCGAGGCACCCGAGACCAAGGTCGAGGTGAACCCCGAACTGCGCCAGAGCCGCAGAACGGAGAACCGCGGCGTTCGGCACTCATTGCCCGATCTCGACGTCAGACAGTCATCACGAACCCCTGTACAAGCGCAGAATAAGATTGACGCCAGTGCACGTCGCGAAATCGCCCGGATCGAGGCCGCCCAGATTCGAACCGAGCGTTTCGCCGCTGACCGCGAAGCTGCTCAGAACGCCCAAGCTGCTCAAGCTGCCCAGGTTGCTCAAGCCGCCCACATGGCCAACTTAGTCCCTCCTCCAATGCCGCCTCAAGCTATGCCTAAGATGCCTTTGCAGAACGGCAACGGCAACGGCCCCCGCATGAGTAGCCTGTTCCACGAGCGCGACGAGATGCAGCGCCTGAACAAGGTATGGGCTAGCCAAGAAGAGCACCGCAGCAAGGTTGGAGGTGAAGAAACCAAGTTTTACGGCGGTATTAAGTACGAGCGCAAGACCAACGGCCCCTTTGTCGGCAAACTCGTCTCGCAAGGCACCATTATCAGTATTGACGGAGAGGATTATGTCGAGTATCGTGTACTCACGAAGCCGAGTTTTTTCTAGGCGACCAAGACGGGAAGAAGCACCTCGCGGCTTTGATCGCCCTTTAAATTTCGGTCAACGGGCATTCGCTGAGCGATGGCCGCCAGATTATGGGACTCCTCCTGAGCGTTGAGTCTCAACGGATCTCTCTCTTTTGATACTGAGTTCAACGGATGAAGGCTGTAGGATTTCCTTTGTTTCTTCTCGCGACAAAATGGATGCGAGGTTCGGCGGAAAACGGGTCTTTCCTATTATACCCCCTCTCAACCTTTTCCGATTAATCATTTTTTTCCTTTTTCCCATCTTTTCGGCGTGGAAAAGCCAGCTCGGTCTCCTTCGTTATCGGCCACGGAGAATTCGCCGAGGAGAGGATTACTATACCATGTTTTCTTTGTTCTGCTCTGCTCTCACGCCCTTCGCAATACCTCACTCATACACCAGTGGCTTGCCCAGTTGAGTTGTGTGATGGTGAGAGACATGTATTTGAGGGCTTTCTTCTCTTGCGTTTTTCTAATTATCATGATGCCATTGCTAGTCAGAATGGGTACCTCTCAAGCGGAGGTCGGAACTGAGCGGGAAAGGGGGGAAAGCGTGGGACCGATACCACAATCCGTGGTTGTCAGTAGCTTTCAGTTAGCAATCAAATGAATCGCCTAAACGTGTGGAATGTGTGGATATTTGGTTGGTGTTTACATCAGTGGCAAGACTCACACTGCGGAGTTGGCAATATGCCATCTTTGTTCAAGGTCCCCAATGCAAAATGCAATATCTTTGATTAGTTGAAACCGTTTAGTCTGTTCCAAAGTCACCATCATACGCAATCTACTCTCGTTACTCACTCTTCCTGATTAAAATCGTAGCTATTCCCAAACCCCCTCCCCAGATACGTCCTCAAAGCCTCCTCCCTCGTCGTCCAATCCACAGGTATCTCCAAATCATCCCTCCCCGTCGCCTCCCCGTCCCCCTCCAGCAAAGGCCTCACGTCTTCCGCAAACTGCAACCGCATCGGGTTCCGGTACCACCCAGCAAAATGAATCATGGCCAGCATGACGCGGACGTCGGGCGTGGCATTCGGCATCCCCGCGTGCCACAGCCGCAGGTCGCGGATGACGATGCTCCCCTTTTCCACCGTCGGCTGCGAGGGCGGGCGGACGGCGCAACGGAGGTCGAGGAGTTGGGGGTTGATGCGGCCGCTTGCGCGGGTGCCGTGGGTGCCTTGCTGGGCTGCTATCCCGGAGGGGATTATGGTGCCGGTGTAGCTTGAGGAGGGTGTTGTGGTGGTGGATGAGGATGAGGGTGAAGATGGAGAGGCGGGCAGGAGATAGGGAGCGTGGGTGCCGAGCCAGAGCTCCGTTGAGCCGTTGGAGGGTGTCATTTCCACAAGGGGAATGTTGATTACGAGGGCGAAGGGGTGGGATGGGTGGGCGAAATCTGCGTCGGAGTGGACTGGTTGGCGTTGTGGTTTGGAGTCTGGTGAGGGCGGCATGGCCGAGTTTGCGGAGCAAAAGGTCCATTTTGGGCGCGGGCCTAGGAGGGAGGAGGTTATTTGCGTTGCTATGGCGTCTGTTGTTTTGGTTGTGAGTTTGTTTGTATAGAGATACGAGGAGGATGTGGAATGAACTCAACTTGTGAAGATGGACTTGTGAAAGTACTCGGCCACGGGAGGCGGATCTTGTTGCAAGTTGCCCAGGTTATAGTTGAAGGGCCCCTTGTCGCCGAGGGACCGGAGGTAGAGCGCGTCTTGGACCATTTTGGCGTTGAGGGCGTCGAGGTCTGCGTGCGGGACGACGTCGGAGACGACGACGAGGCCGTCTCTGTGGAGGTGGCGGACGGCGAGTTCGAGGTTGCGCGGGGAGAGGCGAGCACTAGCAAGTTCAGAATGTGAGGGGTGTATTGTTGCTGGTGTTGATGGGAGGGTTTCGTGGTCGTGAGTGTTTGTTGTAAGTGAGGCCATTGTTCGACTGGTGATAGGGAAGCGTAGACGAGAGGGGGCATTTGAGGTCAAGAAAGGGAGGCGTGAACGGAGGAGCATCGTTGGGGAGGAGATTATTTTCATGGCTTGAGAAGGATATTTATGCGTAGACGGATACGTTTAGTGAAACTGATGGGAGATTCCAGAGATTTCTTATGCATTTATATCTCGAAGGGAGGAGGCTTCAGAAGAGGTTCTCTACGCCAATGCCGAGCTCGGGTTTGGATGACAAAACGTGCATGCCCCATCCACCCCGGACCACCTAGCTACTAGGTTTCCCCAGATTTCCCCCAAATCCGAGCTCGGGGTACGCTAGCCCACCCCCCTCTACACAGCAAGCTACGACTGACCATTCTTCGATTAATATCCGCCTCCTCATTCGTTGTCTGCTTGTTCCGGTGGCGGCGGATTCCTCCACTCCGTCTCCAGCTCCGAGACGAGTCTCTGGACGGGCCAGCCGATTGTTCGCTTACACGCCAAGAGGCGGCGGATCAGCTCCTGTCGCGAGGCTTCTCTTCTGATGAATCGTGCGCCTGTCGAAGTCTTTTCAGTTGTTGGTTTAAAAATGCAGCAGGAAGTGTTGTCAAATAAAAGGATGGACAGGAAGGCGAAAGATAGTGTGTATGTAAGAGGCTTACAGAATGCAATGGGGCCAAAGGCATTGACTTGAACCGAGGGCGTGTTGGCGGTGAAGGCCACGCCGCAGACATCGAAGGCGAGGTGCTCGATGATATCGTCTTTTGTGTCTTGACGGCCGTCTCGGCCGTCTTGTGTGTTTTGAAGACTTGATAATTGTTGCGGGCTTGCGTGGATACAGAGTATCGTAGTGGCGACAAGCTGATAGTGAAGGGCCGCCGCTAGATTCTTATTCAGTCACAAGACAAGGGTGTTCTAAGATATAAAGGCCTACCATGATGATCTCTGAGCAGCCAAATGGATGGCAAGGCGAGGCCCAGACCGCGTTCAACCGTGGAAAAGGGTTCAAACCGTGACGGTAGACTTTTACGCCATTCACGTAACAGATGAGAAAGGCTAGACCACGACTCCTCCGTGACAGAACCCGAGCCTTTGAAGCATGTATTGATGATGCGGCCGAGAATGAGAGTAACGGCACTAAGGTAGTCCTGATCGGTTCTTGAACCAGACGCCGGTAGGGCTAGGGGCACCTGAGCAAGGTCTATCTTGAGCGGGCATCTGCGGAACAAGCTAAAGGTGATGTCCTCACGAAGATAGTTCCAGAAGCCTGCTGCTCGAAGGCTAGACCCAAAGGCGTCAGTTTGAGGGGTATGATAGGCTGCCAGTGAATATGCTCCCTGGAGGTGCCTGTTTGGGTCTACCTCTTCTGCTTTGATGTCAGTTTATGCAATAACCATGCCAAAGTGTCTACAAGGTGCGTAAAAGTAGTGACCGGAAGACGACAGGATCTCACCACTCAAAATCTCATACGACCGCAAGAGACATACAGAAGCTAGCGCAAGCCCCTGCTTTCGCTCATCATTGTTGTACACCTCCGCTGCCATGTTAATCAGCAAACGAATGCAGTGCCCGTGGTAGAACTCCGCCGCCGCCCTGGCGGATGGTACAGTCGTTCTGCTTGTGTGGACCGCGGACAGTGCCAAGATGGCGGCGAAGGGCAGTGGGCTATCGAGGGCGACCTCGGGAAGGCTTGTGCCAAAGGTAAGGAACGCATCGCTGAGGTCGTACCACGGTGCGATGTCGGCAATGTAGTGGAAAAAGTAGCGTGCTATGGACGGGTTCTGGAGGGCTTTGCGGGGGTTGGATGGTGATGGGAAAGGAGTTTGCGGTTCGTCTGCTTTAAGGGATGTATGTGAGCGGCTACAACGTGTGCAGGATCAAGAATAGTAAGGTACGCATAGAAGATACTCATCAGCGGAGTCGGGATCTTCTGTATCCTGCTGGGTCTTTTTGAGTTGTGGGAGTGGGGTGGTGGTGAGGTCACAGTACCGCTGAGCCTTGCGGCAGCGTTGGCACGCTGGCAGAGCCTCGTCGCCTGAGTGATCTCGTATTGATCAAAGGAGCTCTTCCCATGGTGTCATGGTGGATATTTGCTTACATTTGACCTTGCGGACGCGGCAGGTGTTGCTGGTGGCACTTGTCAGCACGAAGATCGGTCTGTGGGCGATACTAGTTCTTGTTCTCATCTTTACCATGCTGCGTTGATGTCAGAAATCCGTTCAAGACGCACGTTTGATGTGCGCCACTGCGTCAAGAGGGTGTCTTACCTGCCTGGTTCAGAATACGAGGCATCACCTTCAGCCCAATTCCTCCGGTCTACCAAGATGGAAAGAAGGTCAGAAACCCAGAAAAAGGCAGTAATCAGGCTCAATGGACACCTGCTTACTTTGGCTCAGGTCGTGTGAAAGTCACTGCAGCGCTATGACACAAGTGAGCGGCGCCTGAGACGTACGCGCCGACGAAATCGCAATGTGGAAAATAGTGTCAAAGGACGAACTGTCGTCTTTGGGCGAAAAACTCCAATTCCCCGTCTCCATGACAGGACGGCCGGTACCCCGCGCTCGGAGCGGACGGGAGAGTGGGGCGCCGGCGGCGATCCCGTCTCACCCCGGATCGCCGGCAGCCACGTCCCTAAGCACTAGAATCGCCAAGCCCCAAAGATCAGCGCAGAGCTAAAGAGGCACTGCTCTAGCGAGCGGCTCATGACATAAATTCACGGAAATAGAACGTCTTGAAGGATCCGAGCTGAAGAGTGTCATGAGGCAGGGACTAGTTTAGTACCGCCACGATGAGAAACGTTGCATCAAGAATACTGAACTATGATCCGAGTTCAACTCACATATAAACCCAATGAAATTGCCGTGATGGAGGTTCTCAATCAGATTCAGACTCACATACGAGACCAACCAACTATCTTATAAAACATTATCAACCACAACTTTCCTCTTCTCACTCAACAACTTATCAAAATGTTCGCCCAAACACTTATCCAGACAACCCTCCTCGCCGCAGTGGCAACGGCAGCCAGTCTTCCCGTCAGACAAACCACAACCACCTTCCGCCTCGCCGCAAACGTAACTAACTTCGACCTCACGCCCTCCATCCAGGGCCAAGAGCTCACCTACATCTCAACAGCAGACTGCACAGCCAACGTCGTCTTCGGACCAGCCGGCCAGGGCGCCGAGTTCTACGCCACTGGAAACACGGTCAACGTCGCCCACCTCTCGGGTGATGACTCTTCCCCTTCGGCCGGGTTGATCGTCACACCCGGCGGAACGGCGACGGTGCCAAGCTTGAACACCGTCCAGCTGCAGTGTGGGGCTGGAACGTCTGGCGTCGGAGTCGTCGATGGCAGTCTGCAGTTTGAGGACGGATTCTGGATGGCATGTCCTAGAAACGACAGCGTTGTGCTGAGCTTCAAGAAGGCTGGGCAGAGGACACTTCTTGGGTGTGCTGATGTTCAGCTTCTCAGCATCTAGGAAGAACTCTAAACACCTAGAGAAGGGCCGACTGCTTTATTTCACGGGTGATACGTGGCGGATATGGTGAATAATATAGAGTTTGGGTGATACCTGGATGATCTGCATCATATTGGTAAATAGACGGGTTGCATGGAAATTAGGGCAAGGCATGAGGGGTATATGATAATAGCATAGGTAATCTTTTGGTCGTTAGAATTTGGTATTCTTGAATTCGATTTGCATACCCAAATGCCTTCAAGCTCACTTCACCCTGCTGTCCAGAACCATTCAGTCTATCTGTAATAGTCCAACATCTGATATACTAATCCATTCCTCAGCCTGCTTGTAACCACCTTATTTGGTGCACAACTCCACAAACTCCGCAATCTCCTTGTTAAACCTCTCAGGCTGCTCATAAAACAACCAATGTCCAGCCTCAAAGACAGACGACTTCGCCAAACCTGGCCGGCCCTTCTCCACCCTCCTGACCGTCTCAAGCATCCCCTCAAGCGGGAAGCACCCAGACTTCCGCCCCGCCATCACCAACGTCGGCACGCTAATCATCTCAATCGCCTCGCGGTGGTCGTACCGCGTATGATCAGCCAATAACCTCGCAAGCCACGCCTGGTCGCACAACGCACTGATCCCCGTGAAGAACTCCTCATCCTTCTTCCTCACCTCGGCAGAAACATCGTCCGTCGCCGGGTCAGGCTTCGCGCGGTACCCAAGACACCCGTCCACGAGATCGACATGCGCCGCCGCCGACTCCTCCATCCAGAACTTCTGCGCGCCGAGCATGCTCTTCTCGTCGTAGCAGCCCGTGTGCGCCAAGCTCTCGTCCCACCCGTCAAACGTGGACCGATCCTGCAGCGGCGCCTGGTCGACGAACACGAACCCCGCGAAATCCGCGCACCCGAAGAGCTCGACGTACGTCCAGAGCACCGCGGCGCCGATGGAGCAGCCGACGGGCACGATCTTGAGGTCGGGCGAGGCGGCGGCGCGCCGTAGGTGGTGGATTAGGTCGCGGAGGTCGGCGGCCAGGCGGGCGACGTGGTAGCCGCCCTTTGTGCGGTCCGATTTGCCGTGGCCGCGCATGTCGGGCGCGACGACCCAAGTGTCCTTGGAGGCGAGGGCATCGGAGTTGCGGTAGAAGTATTCTGAAGAGCCGCTGAAGCCGTGCATGAGGAGGATGCAGCGGGTTGCGGAGCTGGCGCCGGTGAGGGGCAGAGAGGACTGAAAGGCGAGCTTGCAGCCGTCGTTTGCGCCGCAGTGGGCGTAGTGCATGCTGGAAGTCGCCATTTTCGGTGAGAGTAATGTGAGATTTTGTGAGACAATTTGAGAGTGAATGAGATATTTTCCCTCTTCGTCAGAAATAGTCGTTGGTGGTGAATTTGTTTTAAGGGGTCATATTAATTGTTCTGGATTGATAGAACGGCGGGGACGTCATGGCGGGGGGATGTTTTCTGTTGGTGGGGCCGATGCGGGGGTTAATCGGCGGCCCGTGATAGCGGCGGCGATCCCCGTCCCCGCTGCCGATAGCGCCGAAGTCTGATTTTGTTTGAACAGTCCTCTTCCTCAGGCTTATTGGACTTCCTCACACTTTAGGAATATATAATTACAAACTGCTTCTGAATTTCACATTTCACATTTCCTTTCTCTTGCATTTTTACTGGCGATGTACGGTCGTGAGACTAGTACTTGGTCAATAATTATTTACTTGAGACATCAGAAGTTCCACTCGCAGCCATTTCCTTTGGTTTTAACCTCCTAGAGAAACGTCTCAGCCCAGCCCATAAGATGATCCAAACTTGTGCCGCTGCTGCTGCCATTTCACCAATATAGGAAAACAAGTTGATTTATGTACGAATGTAATATGTATTTCAGAATTTTCGTTTACTATTCCTGAACTAAACACAAACAGCCCTTGGTCGTCGGTATGAAGCTTTTTTCCCACCAGAAAAGAACTTTGTACAACTTTCGCACAACACTCATGTACACAACTCTTTTCCTCCTATATACCAACACACACACATCTCGCCGTCGAATCAAGGGGAGGGCCGGTTCTAGAAGCCTAGAAACCGTCTCCCCTCATCTTAGGTAGCCCAAGCTCTAAGCTTCATCACCAACAAATGTCAGCGTGCTTTTTTTTTCAAGCAGACGGGGTAGAGGTGGGCGGGGCACCCGGGGGAGCACCGGTAGGAAAGGTACCATTGGGAGGAGGGCCACCGGGGCCGTCGCCGCCGCTGCTCTGGTCGACGCCGCCGCCCTCGTAGTAGTGCGCCGCGGCGCGGACCTCGTCGCTGTAGTCGGCCGTGGTGTCGATGCCGATGGTGATCCACATGAGGAGGCCGTCGTTGAGGTCCTCGCCGAGGCGGACGTACTTGAGGAAGGGGTCGTAGGCGGCGGTGGCCTCGCCGGCGGCGATGCCGTCCTGGAGGTTGGTCGTGAGGGTCTGGGTGTTGCTGGTGTAGGGGGCCAGGGTCTCGACCTCGGAGATGAGGTCCTGGTCGAAGAAGAGCTGGCCAATGTTGCGGGCGGTGCCGCCCTCGAAGGTGCCGTTGGGGAGGATGGTGGCGCCGTCGGTGGACATGATGTGGATGTGGGTGGCGCGGCCGGTGTAGTGGCCCGGGAAGACGTAGTCGAACTGGACGACGCCGTCCGAGTCGGACTTCTGGACGCCGCGGCCGTGGGTGGTGTTGAGGCCGCCTTGGCCCCGGGCGGAGACGCCCGAGTAGACGCCGGTGGCGTTGCAGGCCCAGGCGTCAATGATTTGCTCGGGGACGGCGGTGCAGTCGTTGATGTCGACGAACTGAATATCGAGGTGGACGGGGACGCCGGCCTGGCCGTCGGTGGTGTCGACGCGGATGAGCTCGCCCTCGACGTAGTAAGGGCCGATGGTGGTCAAGGGAACGAGGGCGCAGGTGGCGTTGGAACCAAAGATGTCCTCGAGAGGGGTGTCGAGGTTGTAGGCCTCGGTGGACTCGTGGTCGACGGCGGCCCACTTGACGAGGTCGGCCTGGGTGCGCTTCTGGTGCATCTTCTGATCGGTGAGGCCACGCTTCTCGCGGAGCATCTGGGCCATGTTGGCGCGGCGCTCGAGGGCGCGCTGCTTGAGGGCCAGGGCGGCAGGGGAGTTGGAGCAGGCGTCCAGGGCGCGCTTGCCGTGGACGGTGACGACGTCGCGGAGGGCGATCTCTGCGGCAATCTCGTCGGTCGTGTGGCTGCCATGGGCTGCGACTGTCCCAATGAAGGGGGAGAGGGCCAGGGCCGCGGCGAGGGCGGAGCGGAGCGCCATGGTGATGAATCTCTGGATATTCAAGGACGAGACGACGAGGGGTTGCTATCGAGTGAAGCAGACCACAGAAGTGTCAGGAGCAAGCTGGAAGAAGAGAAGGACTGATGGAGGTGAAGAGCCTGGTGAGAAGAAGGAGAGATATTTCGTCTTTCTGGCAGGAATCTTGACCTCCTCTTATATCATTCTTCTTCTTGGCGTTTCTATGATCCATCTTGTTTCCTCCTTCCTGATCCTGATGATCCCGTTAACGTCAACATCTTGGCATTGTCACGGCATTGCAACATACCCTACTCTCTCTGCTCCCCTTCATCTGGTCTCGAACAGCAGAGCTAACCCACCGGCCAACACCGTATCCCGGCACGACAAGTCGAGCACGGAGCACGCAAAAGCAACTACATTCCGTACCAAGTAAAGACTCTCGTCTCTCTCT